TTTTTGAAAATTCTTTTAAGAGATAAAACGTCTTAAAGTAAACCTATACAACTAAGGATCATAATAAAAACAATAAATGCTGAAGTATAATGTGACTCTCAAGCTTTAGTTACTTTTGCTAAACTCTGAGACTATATTGATCACCAAAAACTTTTTTTTTTTTTTTTTTAAAAGAGATGGAGTCTTACTATGTTGCCCAGGCTGATATTGAACTCCTGGGCTCAAGTGATCCTCCCACTTCAGCCTCCCACTTCAGTTCCCTTCAGTAGCTGGAATTACAGGCATGCACCACCACACCTAGCTGAGAGGATGTATATTTTATCATCAATTGCTAAATATATATGACACTAATCTCTGAACTTGTTGGGCCATTCTCATTTAGCTACATTCCCATCATTTTCCCTGTGAGAATTAAGGTTAGAAAAACATTGTAAGGACTACCCCCATGATAGTGGTTGGATTTGTCACCTTTTATTTGAAAAAGCACATACCTAAAAATGGATGTGAAGATTCCCTGAACTAAACTGGTGTTCACTCTCCAAACCTACCCTGAGCAATTTGAAGCCCACAGTTTGGAACTATAGGTTTAGTTTAAAACAATCATAAACATATAATCAGAAACACACAGTACTATCACTGGGTTTATTCAATACTCAATAAAAAGTCTCATTTCAAGAGAGATAACCCCTGTTTAAGAAGTAGGATACTGATAATAAAATAATTCTTAAATCAACTACTGCCATGACTTGCATTACTAAGCATAGCTCCTGGCACATAGTAGGCACTCTAAAATCTATTAATAAATGAATCACTGACCAACCTTAGATAGGTTACTCAACTATTCTATTAACATTAACTTTCTATATATAAAGGTAGGCCTTCTCTGGTCTCATTTTCACAATAAGTCTTTGGATTGATTAAGGCACTCTGAAGCTGACATCAAGACAATCAGAAATAAGATCCTTCCATTTCATGCAAAAGTCACACAGAATATATCATATTTCCCATGTTGAGACTCACTTGCCTTGAATCTTAAATATCATTTCCTCCAGAAGGAGTCTCCCAATTTTTCCCTGCCTTGAAGACATTATTGCCCTTGGGTTATTAACTCTCCCTGAATGCTTTATTTTTAATTTGTAGCACACACCACAACAGTAATTAAATAACATTTGTAAAATATTTGTCTTCTGTTCTGGACTTCGCGTATCCTGAGGTGAAGGTCATCTGGACTTTGTTGATTGACTTCCTATTTCTTGCAACTAGAAGTGCCTCCACATGGCTGTTTAGTAAATATTTATTCAAGCATTTATTTGAATATTTATTCAAATGTTCATAAATTTATTCATTTATTTATGAAAACTGAAAAACAAAAAGTCAGCCAATAGTGTCTCTTCAATGTACTCAATAAAAGCGTAGAAAGCAAGGGAGGAAACATTAGGTCAACAGAAGTCTAGTGTTCAGAACATCATTCTGTTCTCAATATGAAACTGAGAAAACAGTTTTTTCCGTGGCAGTAATAGTGATTAAAAAAAAGTATGTATCTGTGTACTGTCTTATAACTCTAAAAACACTGATATGACATGTTGGTCTCATGACTGAAAATATCAAAAAAGTTCATATAGAACTCTCCGAGGATCTAAACGAAGTTTTTAAAGAGTTGTGACAGGTATAAAACCCATTTAACCTGAAAGTCTTTATAAATGACTTAGAGACTATCTGATAATTTTTTTAGTGTTCACCGTGTAATATTCTGTCAACAAACTAGCTGGAATGAAGTCCTTGTTTTTTTTTTAAAGTTTCAGAGCACTAAAATAGACGCCAATTCCAAACAAAATCTTTGGGCACTGTGGACTATAGTAGCCCTATTTTCTTGAGAGACAATGGAAGGCAACCTGAGAACTTCTGCTAATTGCCAAAGGGACTTCCCAGGGATTGTTGGTAAGTTGACCCATACCTCTGAGGTTCCAAAGTAAACTTCCACAACTTTTCAAAAGGAGCATAATCTTTAGAATTCTAAGAAGATGAGAGTGGAAGAGAGATGTCTATTTCAATAATAAACTCAAATGCTCTTTAATGATTAAAAAAGTTTTAAATCAACTTTCTATGACTATATAAAAATTCACAAACAGAAAGACCACAGGGTAGATCCAAATCTAGGCAAATATTATAGTAATGGAAGTATCACAGTTTGCAAAAGTCTATGACAGAGCAGTGGGTTAATTGGGACTTGTATGGGTTCCCATTATTTGCCTTGTAAAAAAATAATCTTACTTAAAACAACTCATTCATTTTAGAGGCCATGAATACCTTGTGCAATAAGTAGCTTATACTTAATCCTATATGACTCTTGAATTCCAGAATAGGACAGGTCAAAGCCAAAAAAATACCCTGAAATAAAGTGAGCAAAACAAAATACTAGATTTTTAGAAGATTTTGTTCCATCTCGCTAATGAGTTCTGTTTGGAAATTTGAGTTTGCAATAATATATTATCTTACAGCCCCATCAAATTTGATGAAGGCCAAAGCATTTTGATATACATTATCTAATCTGATTCACATAATCGTTCTGTGAAATACACAGGCCAGGAATTTTACAAAGAACATGAGGTTTCAAGAGGTTAGGTTTCTTGACCAGGGATCGTAACTTAGAAAGTAGAAGAACCAGGACTGGAAAAGCTTCAGATCCCTAGACCACTGCTGTTTCTAAACAAGTATATTATCCTGGCCCCTCCCAAGCTGCTATTCATTCTTATCCCTCACCAAAACAAGCAATAAGATAGCAGTACCCTTAGCTTCAAGTACATCAAGTGATGTAAAACATTTCCCTAAAAATGATTATATCCCCATTATATCCCCATATAATGTCAAGTCTTAGAAACCTTATGAAATTATATTTATTATTCTTGGTCTGGTATCCAGCTTGCATAGAGAGCATACCTTTCTTTGTATCATAAAAGAAAAATAAATATGTTTTTTCCTCCTATAAAAGAACAGGGACCTTCCTGATAAGCATCGGAATCACTAAATCCAAGTTGTTCCAGTCTATTCTAGTGTGAGGTTAGGGCTGAAAAGTGAGATAAAATCTATCTTCCCTATTTGAGGATAATGAGATGAAACCTCAAGATGAAAGAAATGTCGTTAACTACTGAATGTGAGAAAGAGTGAGAAGTTTTAAACTTTTTTTTTAAATGAGTGACTTGATGTCCTGAGAGGGGAAAAGTTCTTTTTTTTTTTTTTTTTTTTTTTTTTTTTAAATAGAGTCTCGCTCTGTTGCCCAGGCTGGAGTTCACTGGCGTGATCTTGGCTCACTGCAACCTCCACCTCCCGGGTCCAAGTGGTTCTCCTGCTTCAGCCTCCTGAGAGCTTGGATTATAGATGCATGCCACTACACCTGGCTTATTTTTGTATTTTAGTAGAGATGGGGTTTCACTATGTTGGCCAGACTGGTCTCAAACTCCTGACCTCAGTTGATCCGCCAGCCTTGGCCTCCCCAAGTGCTGAGATTACAGGCGTGAGCTACCACGCCCAACCAAGAGTTCAATTCTTGATGTAAAAATACTGTAAGTATCTGCAAATCCTAGAGTTTAATAGGGAAAAAAAATCAACATAAAGTTCTTTGACTCCAAAATCTTGTTTTCTTATCTGTAATATACACTGTGCTATTGCATTTGCACAGTATGAAAGTTAAAGATAGAAAGCCTTATCAAGTAAGTGCCACAGAACGTAAGGGTCAAAGCAAGATTGACCCATATAACAAGCCTAACTCTAATCTTTGGGAGTAAACACTTGACTTTCTTCTATAAAGTCAGCCTTGTTCTTTTAAGTCAGTGGTTTTCACCCTTGAATGCACATTAGAATGAGTTTCTAAAAAATACTGGTGTCCCAGTCCTGCTCCAGACTAATGAAATCAGAATCTCTGAGAGTTCAGAAACTGGCTGGTTCTAGGGTTCAGCTGAAATTGAAAGCCTCTAGTCTAAGTGCTATCCAGTTTCAAATATGATGTCAACATGATGGCACTGTCATATTTTCCTATGGAAGAAATATTCATAAGACCAGGATTAACAGTCACAATAGCCAGAAACATCAAAATTTTACAAGCTGAATGAGTTTATTATTTGGATATAGATGATATTCTTAAAGTTAGTCAAATACTATAGTTAAATACTAACCATTAAAAAAAGCTTACTATAACTATATAATGCTCATTTCATTGGCTTAGGTATTAAACATTATTTAAAAATATATCTTCTACTGAGTAGTCACCCATTTTGTAAAATAATTGATTTTTGGAATTTTCCCATAGCTGTAAGTAAGAAAAGGCAAATAATGAAACCAGAAATACAAGACACCCTATTACACAGGTATACACAATCAGTTCAACAGGGAGTTTCCACTGCTCAGAGGACAAAGGACTTCTCAGAAACATTACTGCAATCGTATTGCTCATTTCTTACTCAACACAGTACTACTGAAAAGGATGTTGTTATGTTCCCACCTTAACTGCCTTATGTGTTGTTCCTGTGACAGCTGGAGTCAACAAAGATAAGTTTGGCTTCTGGAAAAACCAAAATACCGATCTTCTTTATTTTTAAATTTGCTCTAAAACTCTTCCATATTATCTGATTCTAAGAATTTGGCAACAGATGCATATTAAAGTTAGAGAATGAGTAACTAAACCTGGTCTCAATTGTATGTTTAAGCAAATAGAACAATAAAAACAAGTTGCATCACATTCAAAGGAGGCTTACACTAAAATTTTGAGACAAAAAATCGCAAGCAATCTAAAATAGATTTAATATGCTAATCAACCTAAGTGGCCTAGCCAGGAAAATACTTAGGATTCCAATTTTATGAGACGTCCAAATTTAGAGGAATTTAATAGCTGCTACACTAAGGATAAGGAAACATTAAAGGTTAGAGAAAAATTTTGATTTTGGGTTTCTACCTCTTGGTCAGTGAGTTGTAACCAAATATATAACCAGGGAGTAGCATAAACTTACATGATTTATTGTAGATTGAACAGCCTTTACATAATGGTTTAGTTGCCGATCCATTGTAGCAAATTCAACCATTGCCTTGTCCATACTATATTCACTACTCACTTCAGCTGAAAGAAAAAAAAATTGCAATTATTATTTTCCACTTAAAATGCCATATCTGGAAAATGTTGCATCAGTATAATCTACATCAGTCAGTGGTCTAAATAATTTTGTGCAGTTATTACATCTTTTAAAAAACCTCCTCACCATATGGTGCTTCATTCAAAATTCTGAGAATACACTCAGTAAAAGACAGTTCAAAGGCAGTGGTAGGCTGGAAAGAAGAAAAGACTTGTATTCAGGAGTTCCAGGCTGTGCCCTTACTTATACGATCTTAAATCAACCACTATACCTCTCCCAGCCTCAGTTCCCTCATCCATTAAGCAGCTTAGTCTTATATCTGCTGCATAAACTGTGAAGGATTGTTAAAGGTCAAATAGGGAAGATTCTCACTTTTAATAACACTGAGCTAGATTACTTGGACTAATCTTCCTAATGAAAACAACCAAAGACAGCAGCCGGGCACGGTGGCTCACGCTTGTAATCCTAGTACTTTGGGAGACCGAGGCAGGCAGATCACTTGAGGTCAGGAGTTCAAGACCAGCCTGGCCAACATGGTGAAACCTCATCTCTATTAAAATACAGAAATTAGCTGGAAATTGCTTGAACCCAGGAGATGGAAGTTGCAGTGAGCTGAGATCATGCCACTGCACTCCAGCCTGGGCAACAGAGTGTGACTCCGTCTCAAAAAGAAAAAAAAGAAAAGAAAGAAAGAAAGAAAAAAGAAAACAAGCTTAGATATCAGATACAGCAGGAAAAAAAAAAAATCTTAAAAAAAAGAGTCACAAGGTAGTAAGAAATAACCAGGGCAAAATCTAGAATAAAACAAAAATGAAAAGTGGGGCAACAGAATGCCAAAGTCACATACTATCCCACAGTAAGCTGAGATCTCAACTCTTTGTATAAAGATGAACCAAAAGTAATCTCTTACTGCTCCCTGGGACCAAAGGGAGGTTAGCCTTGGCCATGAAGCAGAACAGGGAAAAGGGAAGAGAAAACAAACTTGTTGCAGAAAAACTGGCCATAAGGCAGTCCTCCTGGATTTGCAGCAGGCTGGGTTCCCCTAACCAGAGTGATCCAGAGACCCAGTCTCTGACGTTGGTGGGAGGTGGTCTCTGGCAGATAGTACTCACAGGTGTCTGGCAGAAGCAAATATAACTATCATCTGGAGAAGACACTCTTAATCTAGGTGTCAAATAATCCCTACATATAATTTTTAAGAATGAGCAGATCACAGGAGAAAAGGCTGAAACAAAAATAAATATAAAAACAAACAGAAAAACCTTATATAACTATAATACACAAGAAAACAAGCCACTAAGAATAACAGTCAGCAGAAACAGATCCACAAATATTTCAGTTATTGTAACTATCTATATTAGTCAGAATAAGAAACAACTATGTTTACTATGTTTAAAAAGTTAAAATATCCTCAGGGAACAGGAGTCTATAAAAAGGGACTAGCAAATTAGAAAAGCAAGGTAATGTTGTTAAAAGTGCTTTTAAATTGTTTCTTCAAGCTCTAAACGTAACTTAATAGATTAGGAAAAGATAGTTAACAAAGGATCCTAAAAATTTCAACTAAAAACTTTGAATTTAAGATAACTAAATGAAAAGAAAATAAAGCTTTCTTTAATCACATTTGGGAATGAACCTACTCAAAGACTCTCCATTCAAAGACTCTCCATTCAAATACCTTAGTGCAGACAAATGTCGTTTTTCTTTTCTACTCTGAAGAATAATACCACAGATCATTCCAAAGTCATGAAATAATGTAAAGTCCATCCACATTTGGCTTTTAAAACATATGCTTTAATTTTACAATAGTTACTTATAAGCATATTTCATAGACTGTCTCCTGGGTTAACATGCTTCTGGTAGAAGACCCTTCAGCTTTTACTATCCAGGCAGCACAGAATATACATATATCTCAATGTAAGTTTGGGGGTGGGGGAGGGTGTAATGTTTACATAAAGAAAAATTTGTATTTACATTTCCCAAATTAAATATATGTTTAACAAAATGGTGCATGAGAAAAGGCTCAGGTCATACTCCAAATAAAACTGTTAGACTATTAGAGTCACAGTTTGTTGTTCTGAAAATTTCTGAATGTCAACAAAATGGACATACTGCTTGGTAGCAACATATATATGTTGCCATATATACAGCAACTGTTTGTTAAAAGTCATATTGTTTCATGATAAAGAAGTAAATTTTAAACAATTTACAACCTAATGTAATGGATGTTTTGTAATTTATTTAGGCATTTTACTGTTACATTTCAGTACATTGATTAGGGGTTTTAGTTAACCTATATTTTTTCCATTTAAAATAATGAAAAATAGACTACTGGTTTCACACCAGCCTTATCTAGTTAAAGGAAAGTATTGTTTCATTTTGTTTTCCTTAATGGATCAGTATATTTTATGAGTATTAGATTCGGATACTGAACTGGTCAAAAAAGTGGGTAAAGCTGGTAACCTGAACAAAGACTAACAGGATAAACTGCTTTTCCAAAATTCTGATTATTAGAGGCACCCCAGACTAAACAGACACTCACTGAAGTATCTGTTGGGAGCAAAAGTCTGAAGCATAAGATATGAAAGTCTGTAAGGGGCTTAAATCAGTGGAAATAGATATAATGTTAGCAATCTCCCTCTGGGATTAAACAAGTTAATTTTCAAAGGCATTCAGAATATACCTAAGACATTCAAAATGCTATAGAAAAGCTGCAAAATGAAATAAATGAGGTGATAGTTCTCATTAACAGGGTCCCATATATGCTAGTAAGACCTGAGACAGATAGTAACCTGGTTCAAAGCCAAAGAGACCTTCCTGCAAAGGAGGAAATGGGCAAGGCTTGGGTCAGTTTTGATGGCATGAAGCTTAAGGAAAGAATCTTTGGAGTCTAACTGGCTTACAGGCAGCCTCAGCTCAGGCTCCAGGGCCCAAGAATGTTGGGACAAGCTGCTGAAGAACACTAGTAAAGACTGGTGCAGCCCAAGCAACAAAGGGAACGGGGAACACCAGAAGAGATCAGGAAGGTAACTCTAAAAAGAACTGAGGATCACAGTACACCTGGAGGCAGTGCCCAGTCAGATAACTGTAGTCAGAGGGTCTTGGTCAGCTGTAGCAGGAGGCTGAGAGACCAGAGTCCTACGAGGAGAACTAGAAGAGACTCCCACAAGAGCATCCTGAAGACAGGTCATGAGAACGTCCATGTCAAGTAGCAACCTGCCACAGCAATTTTAAGATGATTTTTGTAATTCTTTTTTGTTCTTCTTGTTAACCTTTATTTCCCGACTGCAGTAATAACCTCTTGACTTTTGGAGGAGGAAACAAGGGATAAATGCAGAAACACAGAGTTAGTTACTAACTAAAAAGTTGCTGAGGGTTGGGGTGGTTGTGGAGGGACTGATCAGGCAGAGGCTCCCTGCTACTTGATTCCACAGTACATCTTCCCACCATCAAAATTCTCCCACTCTTTCACTGAAAGCCCTTTTTGAGAATATATATCAAATTAAATCCTACACATTCATCAAGGGCTGAGCTCAGGCCCCACCTAGGAGGATTTCCTCCTTCACCTAATTTGCCTGAACACCTATACTCTTGATATCTTGGGACCATGATCAATCTTGCCTTTCTTATCTGCATTTGTTTCCTTTCACCAGAGATTTTAATCCATTTGAGGACAAGAAAGATGCCTTAGTGTTCTTAGAATCCAACAAAGAATTACAGCAACTCTTCCTTCAATATTCTTCTAAGGCCACTATATTTCATAAATCTGAAAATTAAACTTTCACCAAAATATAAATTGTCCTATCAAAGAGATTCAACTAAATTAAAAAGTAAAAGATGACATGTGATACAACTTCACCTGCCTATTTTATATTTTCATTGTGACTTTTCCATAGGAAAAGAGATGGCACCAGCACTAGGGTGGTGGGTAGAAATCACACAACGATGTTCAAATTCACAGAATGATGACTCCAGAGAGAAAAGCATTGCTGTACAACACTTCTGCAAGTCTGGCATTAGGGAAGTTTAGTGCAGATGATAAAACACGGAAAGTAATGACAATGATTATATATGTATATATAATAGCTGTAGCTAACAATTAGGGAACACTATTATGTGCCAGCACTTCATACTTACATCAAATCTCAGGGCAACATAAGAGTTAGGTAGTTCTATTTCCACTTTACAAATGAGAAAACTGAAGCAACTTGCTCAAGGCCACAGAGATAGTTAGCAGCAGCACCAGGCCTCCCACTCTGGCTTTCTAACTGCCAAGTCTGTACACTTGCCCACCTGTACAAAAAGGTATTTAAACACAAGGAGAAGGACAGGCACCTCTAACTCCTCCATGAATATCCAGGGAACAAACCTCCAAGTAGGAGAAAGCCAAAGACCCAGAGCCTCAGCTCAGCTCCCTTGGCGATCTGTTAGCATAAAACAACACTTCCAAGGAGGACACTAGGCAATGCCATTCAGAGGCTATCAGACATGGTTCTGGAAAGCTCTTTCCAAATTCCTTAAGGAATCTGATAACAAAAAGAAAATGATTTTTCCCTTTTTGAAGATTAATAAGCTTTAACATTGGTGAAAAGTGACCTTTCACATCAGCAAAGCTAATCTGAAGTGCTGTAAGAGCAACCAAGTCACTCAGAGATTGTTAGGAGAATAACTAAGTCAACTCCAGCTGCTAAGAGGTCAAGCTTGTACTAGGCCAAGAGCACTGGCAGCAAGAGAGATGAAAGCAGCTCCAGACTGACTACCAGGCAGCAAATGAAGAGCAGCAGGAGAGAAATGTTCAAGGGGAAGGGAGAGTACTGGAAGGTTTCACATTGCAGAGTGAGTTCTGAATAGTGCTCAAAGTTAAAAATCACTTTTATTAGCCAAATATTTGACTCCCCCCACTCCCAGCCCTGCCAAGCGGAGTCTAGGAATATTCAAATTTCTTCACTGAGCCATTCTGTGAGCATTTATTAATTACAGCCAGCCCTTG